AATATAACGAACCTGGCTGGAATTAGAACTGTGCACCTATTTTCAATTTTGTGCCGTTATTAATTACACCGCCAGCATATCCCTGCTTACAGCACCTAGTATTCTCAAAATCAGAGTTTGAAGAAAAGAGTAACTGAGTTGCTATGTGACATCTCTCCTCCTTTACGACAGCAAATGTTGGATGGTCTCCTCAAAGATGAAGAAAAGACTCAAGGCAAGGAGGCATGGTTCTACAGAAGGATGCTAAGGATACCTTGGACCAAGCGTGTGAGTAACGATGAGGTTTTGGAGAGGATGCAAACAAGGAGGAAGTTTATACTTAATATCAGGAAGATGTTGAAATCTCTGGGACACGTAATTATGGCCACATGGGATTCATAAGAATTCTGGCTCATAGAAAAGAAAAGAGGATTTTTTTTTCTGGATGATAATTTTAAGAAGGCCAAGTCTAGCCACACCCACACTGCCGAGCGATCATTGGCCAAGTGGTGGTGTAAATGATAGGCGAAGGTGAATGTATGAGAAAGGTGGGGAAGTTGTTGACACCCACTAATGAGGATTGGTATGAGATACCAATATGAAAAAGGAAGAGTCTAGGAGGCTAATTCTCCTCCGACCTCTCCTCACGGATGAGGGAGAAAACCCCCGAAATGGAAAGTGATTGGCTTCCAAAAATGGGAAGTAATAAATTTTCCTGTCCTGAGGACAAAGAGAATTTTTGTTGGGAATTAAGAATTGTCAAAGAACCCAAACCACAACAGGGCCCCAACCTGGAATTGGTCGGTGTCCATATAAACAAACGCCTTGAGGCAGCTAGTCAGTGTTTATTCGGCAGAGTTTCAAGAGAGTTCGAAGTTGCAGTTGGAGACCAGCCTCGCAGGAGCTGACAAAGATTTCCACGCCTTTTGACTTGGTCTTCCTACCAAAAGCAAGTTTTTATTGATGAACGACTTAAGATACCATAACTTGCTTAAGAAACGCAAAAAGCGTCACGAATCCATAGAAACGGACCGGGAGAGAAACACACTCCTGTATTCAATAGATAGATAAAGTTAATTGTTATTTTTCAACATATTTGAACCTTGTGAGTTTGTTTTATTATTTTTCTTTTATTTATGCTTGTGCAGTATCACCTTTACCCCGGATTCAGCTTGCACTACGGCCCGACGCCTGATTGATTTCGTCTACCTAAGATCAAAGTCACAACGTGGGTAGGTTAGACTTGAGATCAAAGTAGTTACTTCGATGACCAAGTGTTGGAGGTGAGCTGAGAACGACAAAGCCGGTATTGAACCGGAAACGACCAGATTGACTGGGACACAGGCTGGTGGCAGCGACAATGAGTCAACCCCAAACATTGGTGGAAGAAACCTTACAGCTTCGCGCCACAACTGGGAGTTGAACACGCGCTGACGGCGCAGCGTCATATATTGATGTCACGACCAGTGGACGTCACATATTGACGCTGGACTGCGACCACAAGTGGGTGTCACATTTTGGTGCCATGACCACCGGATTCGACCCTGAACTAACCACTGCCACAGGAGTTGCGGAAAATTTTTGACCAGGACAACGCACGTTGTCTCAAGTAGACAAACAGGAAAGAGACTAGAGCGGGAACCAAAGGACTTCCTACAACGTTTCCTTCATTTCTAAGTGTCGTCATCTTCTTACAGCGTTTCCCTCATTTCTAAGTGTCATCATCATCCTACAGCGTTTCATTCATTTCTAAGTGTCGTCATCTTCCTAGAACATTTCTTTGATTTCTAAGTATCATCTTCCTTGAATATCCATCTTAAAAAACTGACATGGCTCTCATCCCAAGCTTCAAAACATTAGAAATTCATCAAAATATTAAAACTTCAGCAAAGATCAAAACAGAATTAAACGAGTTGCAATTAAGGAAGAAAAACAAATTGGCATTAAATTTGCTTTTAAATAAAGAAACAAAATCTGTTTTAGATAAAAATTTTGGGAATTTATACATTTTTTTTTTCTTTTTTTTGTCTATATTTTTCCTTCAGCATTGGACAACTGACTTTATTCACTGTAATCTATTATTATGAACCTTATGTTCAGTGGGTACATTTTTAAGCGTTTCACCCCAAGCAAGGCGGGAAGCCACTAGGACGCAAGGGGTTACAGAAGATTTGGAGCAAGATCAGATAGGAGTGATAGAGGAAAGGATGAGGAGAAAGATAGTGGATAGATCAAGACAACTGGAGATGTTGATTGACATTACATTTGAATAGCTGGAGATTATGTATGTGAGTTGTTATCCCAGTTTGATTTCTTAAACAGTGAAATTAATAATTATCCTAGATCAAGAAGTCTTACTAAAGAAAACTGACAGGAATTGAACCTGCGTCCAAGGCCAGATTTTGATGTTTTGGGACTCCTAAGCTAATTAAATTATACCCCCCACCGCACTCAAACAGAACCACCCTCTAACTTGCCCACACTCGACTTTGATATATTTTTTTTTTACTCATGATATATTTTAGTGACATTTATATAGCTTCAAGTAAACTTATTGCAAATTCTTTTAAAAAAAAAAAAAAAACCCAAAAAATCATACTGTTTTGTCAATAAAATCATTCTTCAAGAAATGCTACTATTTTACTATTTATTGTAAACCAAATTAGCACACATTTCAACATAACTATAAAAAAAAGAAAAGATTTTTTTATAACCAGCATTATAGCAATAAAACAATCAAAATAAATATGAGTTTGTCATAATGATATCATTTTAGTTTATGAAACTATTTAAAGGTTATAACGTCTAAAAAATAAAAATCATTGCTTTATGAAAATTTTTAAGATTTAAACTTTCTGAATTAAAGTCAAACATGTTATCTACTTGTTATCGCAATGACACAAACTAAAACATTCTTCCTGCATCTTCATCATCCCCTTGACTTTTGTAATCATAGGGCTGATCCGAATGCTGAAGCTACATGAACCATCTTCCACAATGGTCAATCAACGACAGCCATCGGCAATTCTGGTTGTCATTGCTGTCCAGTTTTTGACATTGTCCAACCAGTTTTTGCGTTGACGCCTTCTCCACCTTCAACAGTGACTTGCATGATGGTCTTGCTTTTTCTATTTGACAGTGGTGAGGTTCCTGGTGTCCCACAAAACTTTCAACCCTTTTTCTAGCACAAAATCATTGGATTTTTTTTGTTCCCAATATAAGATGCCAAGGAGTTTTCTCATGTATTTGTTCTCAAATGCTTAGATTCTTCATCAAGTGCCCACGTTTCACATCCATATAGGAGAATGGAGACTATCAGTGATTTGTACAGTCTGTACTTTGATTGAAAACGGATTTTTTTTTTTTTTTTTTAAATTGATATCAACTAATGCGAGGCATTAAAGCCATTGAGACACAAGGGATGACTGGGTGTAGAAAAGTTAGAAAGTGAAACATTGCTAAAGAGCGAGAACAAAAGAAGAGTAATCAGGAGAACATTAGATATTCATTGATATTGCATTTAAATTGAATTCATCCCCATCAAGGCAGTAAAGTCACTGAGACACAATGGGAAGAGTTAGAAACAGAAACATTGCTAAAGAGCAAGATCAAAAGAAGAGTACTTGGGAGGACAGTTGATAGTGATTGATATTGCATTTAAATTTTTGCAAATTAAAATAATCTGGAAAGTATGGAGCCAAAAGAAAATTCTGTAAGCAAGAAAAGGAACTGGTAGCATAGATGTTACAGCTCCATCCTGCCAACTGTAAATTGAAAACATCTTGATTCCAATTTAGTACTGCACTTAAATTCAAAAATGTCAAGGTACCCTAGAGAAGAGCTCACCCGAACAATTGATATCATTTCAGTTTATGAAACTATTTAGAAGTTATAACATATACAAAATCATAGCTTTATAAAAGCTTGAGGAGCTCTAGGCTGTAGCCTATGCTAGCCTAAAGGAGAATCTGGCCCTGCCTGTATGCCCCTTTCCATCAGGGAAGCTGCTTCTGGGGAGGTATAAGTTTTATTTAGTAGGAATTCATGATCTAGGCCGGTCGTTATTAATTTCACCGTTTAAGAAAATAAAAATAAACAGGTATAGCAAGTAAAATACATGTATCCATGAAAAATAATGTTTATAATAAATAATGTTAGATTAAAAGCATGACTAATCTATAGAAACCGGAAGAAGAACCTTCATTTGTCCACTCCGTATGATGTAATTTTGGTTGTTTTTTTTTTGTTTTTTTGTAGCATATCATTCTGTACGGGTTATTTAATGCCAACATCTAAATATTTTGTATGCAATTTTATTTCATCTCTTTTGGTGGCCAGAGATAAGTAGTGATGCAAGTCTCTCTAATTAACCCATAATTGGGGGGTGAAGAGATGGATCTATACCTTTCCCAAGAGTATTTGTATGTAAGTGAATATAACAAGCCGAACAGGAATAGAAACCCAGTTCTCAGATTAACAATTCTGAGCCATTATCTGTTTTGCCACAAACATATCCAAGCTTACAGCAACTGGTATTCCCAAGCAGTCACACATATAAGTACTGACCAGGCTCGGTGTTGCTTAACTGATTATTATATAGGAACCGGTGTTTCAATGTGATATGGCCATAGGCTGATATGAAGCAAGACTATTCTCCAAGAGTAGTAATCTATATTCTACTGTATAGGTAATGACTAGTGTTGGCATGGAGACAAGTATTTCCACATGAGGACAAAACTGTCGGTTTATTCTTGAAAGATTAAAGTTTTTTGTCAATTTTTCTATTTTTTTTATTTAAGAAAAAAAAAAAAAAAAAATCAGTATTGTCTTAAATCCTTTGAGAAACAAGATTCCTGAGGTAACAACAACAAAGAATAAAACAATTATGTTCTTGAGGGAGGTTTTAAATTGGAAAAAAAAAAAAAAAACAAAAACAAAAAAAAAACAACAATAGCAACCAATAGTAAAATTAATAGTAGCAACAGCGGTATGTTGATTTTTGTTTTTTTGTTTTAATGTTACTAACGACAATATGTGGCATCAATTTGCGTCAATTGAGGGAGCAGAAGCTTCACCTTCCGTCGATAGGAAGGATCCTGACGTGTCTTTTTGTTCTGATCATACCATATCAAATTTTGTTCAAGGTAAACAGTCCGCAATTCTGACAGAGAGACCAATTCCTGTAAATCATCCCAGTTGAAAACTTGGTTATTGTTGAACTGGAAAAAAAAAACAAAAAAAAACAGGAAATTGAGGTTAGAAAATCTGCAGCATGAAACAGAAGGAACAAGTTGCATTTTTACAAACAAAAAATTAACCAACTACTGAAAAGAAGGGCTTTTGATTAGGGTCTCCAAACAAGGCTGCAGATTCGTGCATACTACTCTCGATTGTGGGTCCCAGGAAATCCTCACTATCTTAACATTTGGTTTTTTACTTACATTTATATAAATTACAAATTAAACTGACTATTATTAAAGCATGAAAATTTTTGTTTTCAGATTTTTTTTTACAAATATGTGAATTTGATTTCGCTCAAGATAAAGAATATATATATATATATATATATATATATATATACACACACACACACTGTATAAAATTCCCTAATTTTTATCGATGATGGTGAATGTGCTAAAATTATTCAACTTTTTTAACAAGAAAAATTTAAATGTTAAAATTTGCTGTAAAACATTGATTTATGATGGAATGATGTACTCTATGTCTCCAATTTTTATTTAGATACATTGTATTTATTTTAAAATAAACGACATTGAATTGTTCATCTATATTGCATATCATCCATTATTGTAACTAATTAGCATAAAACAGGATATTTCCAGATCATTTCCCCTGGGTAGAAAATTTAATAAATGCCGATTACACCCAGGAAGCAAAAAAAAAAAAAAAGCAGAAAATTCCCCACCACTAGACATGGAAAAATAGGTTGTTTATAATGACAAGATCCAACGTTAACTGAGAGTGACAACACTACAAATGGATTTTGGATTCTTTGTCAAAACTAAAATTTGGAGGGGGGGGAATGTTTTCCCCAATAACATAAGACAAATTGCATTATCTTTCAACCATGAGAGTAGAGCAGCCTATAAGGAATATTTAATATTTCTTCAATGAAAATGCTAAAAAAAAAAAAAAAAAAAAAAAACTCACCCAGAAATCAACTAAATTTTTTAAGTGACTGACATTTTCAATCTTTTGGATTCTATTACAAGCCAAGTCCAGAACTGTTAGTTGCACCTGAAAAAAAAAAAAAAAAAAAAAAAAAAAAAAAGATAAGTACTTCTGAAGAAATGTGAAAAATTCTAAAAACAATCTCTCTAGTATCCCTAATATAGAGACATTAAGAACACTGGCCTAATTGTATAGAGCTTATCGTTTAGAGAAACATAAAATGGTGATCCTTTCATTTATTTGGTTAAGTAATTCTCTGTATACCTTTTACAAATTAGGAAAAGAAATTCAAAGTAGACAAGTTTTCATATAGAATTTTTCTGAATTTTCATATTTCCTGCTTAGAATTGTTTTGATAATTTCCTGTTAACAAATCTTATTTTTCCTGTATTAACAATAAAAATTTCATTTACAAGTAGGAAATTATTTTACTTTAAATGTTTTTCAACAACCTAACGTAGTTCCTGAATTTCTTTGAAATACTGTCATTACTATTCATTTTATACTTTAGTATTTCTTTCATATTATTTCTGTTAAATTTTCATTGCATCTCTCAGATCAATTGTTAAGCAAGCAGTGTGACTTGGAAATAAAGAAAAAGGCTCCAGTGAAATGGTTGTAGAATAACAAGCTGAAAGATGTATTAAAAATCTCAAGAAATAAAGAAAAGACAGACAAAAATTAATAAGGATTCCTCTCTCCTTGTTTGAATGATTTTTTTTTTTTTAATACAATAGACATTTGAGGAAGACGAAGGGGGATTGCAGGTGAAATCTGACAAAACAACAAAGATGAGGAGGATATTGTTTCAAACTAACAGAGAAAAAACTATGACAAAGTGGAGACCGTTTTCATGTGATGTGCTTCAACCTTTAGGACTTCATCAAATTAATGTTTTGGTTGATGCGAATACACATGATCAAGAAGGAAAGATTCCCCCCACCAACTAAAATTGTTACTGATATATAAAAATGTATATCGTTTCTCCATAATTTATCTGCTCACAAACTTTTGTGTTGAGATTAGAGTGTAAGGGAGATAATCAAGGTTTCTTCACAAAGTATCAAAAATTTAAAAGCAAAAATTACTTACATTGTTTGTCAATCCTTCCAGTTTATCAATACCATTGTCACTCAGGTAGAGTTCATCAAGGTTTACTAATGATTCAAGGCCTTCAATCTTTCTTATACGATTGCTCTATGTAAAAAATAAAGAAAATATAGTAGAAATATATAAACAGAAAAAGCATTTTTTTTTTTTTTTTTTTTTGAGTAGAAGGATTACCCATAAAGATGTAGAGGGTGGTAAAATCTATGAAGAAAAGAATAGGAATAATAATCAGAAAGAGAGAGAGTTTTTTTATAATAGTAATAGGATTACATTTTTTTAAAAGTCATTTCATCACATGCAAGGCAGTAAAGCCACTAAGAAACAAGAGGTTACTGAGTGTAAAAGAATAAGAAAAAAAGAAAAACATTATTAAGAAGCAAGAACAATAAAAGAACAGGAATTAAGACAGAAGTTATCAATTAACATTGCATTTAAATTTTTGAAGATCAACGTTGACTGGAAAATATGAAGCCAGAAGAGAGTTCCACAAGTGAGAAGTTTAAAAAAAGAAAATGTTAGTATAGAACTTATGGTTACATGTAGCCATTTCAAATGTAAAACGATGAGACTGTGCTTAAATTCATATAATCTAGGTACCATAGTGTACTGTGCTTAAATTCATATAATCTAGGTACCATAGCAAAGAGTTCATCCAAAATATTACCATGAAAGTATTTATTTTTTTTACAATAATGTTCACTCTGTACAATGGCCATGAGCCACTTGAGGTAAAGGGTTACAGAATAAAATTGATTATTGTATTAGTTCTATCATTGATATTGAGTGCATATATATATATATATATATATATATATATATATATATATATATATATTATATATATATATATATATATTATATATATTATATTTGTATGTTCAAGAAAATCTTACCTGTAAGCTCAGAGTAGTGAGGTTAACAAGTTTGTCCAAACCTTCAATTTTAGTGATTTTATTTTTCCCAAGGTACAGTCCAGTCAAATTAGTTAGGCCATCTAAATTCTCAATAGTCTAGAGTTAAAAAAAAAAAAAAAAAAAATGTATAAATCTCAAAAGATACCCATGCCAAAAAATTTGGAAACCAAATTATTTAAACCATGAAAAATGTAAAATTCTTTTAAAATTTCAATCAGAAAGAAAAAGATTCTTAAATGTATGATTATGTTACTAGATTATAAATAGTTGGGAAACAATTATTTTGACACGAGTATCAGCTCTGTCAAATGTTTGTAACTCATGAGGATTAAAAAACAACTTGAGCACAAAAAAAGTAGAAATGGGAAAGAAAACGGAAGGAAATTGATGGATATTTTTGTTCAAGAAAATTCTTTTAACAGAAAGTTGAGTTGCGTGATTTTATGGCACTTAAACTTTCCCACTCGTTAAAAATGGAGAATTTTGGGGTGGTGGGAGGTGCTTGTTTTTGTTGCTTATCATTCCTTAGTACTTCCTCAAGACATCACATTTGCCTAAATAAAAAAAAAAAAATTTTTTTTATCAACTTAAACAATTAATACTAATACATTATAAAATCCATCTCTGAATTTTTATGGAGTTATTGAACTTTGATGTTATTTACAAATGTCAGGTTTGAAACAGCATACATCATTTATTTATTTTTTTTTTTTTTTTTTATTTTCTGAATTTTTAAACTTGTTTTGAAGAGAGGGGAGATTTTTTTGGAAACACATGTACAAACATTGGGGGAAGGGAATAATTATTTTAAATGAAGAATATATATATCTTTATTAATTCATTTGTTTTTTAACTTAAAATATTTTGGGGAAAGAAAGAACAACAAAAGAAAAGGAAAGGGGGCAAGAAAAGAAAACAAAGGAAAAGAAAAAATGAAGAAAAAGAAAATAAAAAGCCTCCTTTCTTCCTTTGAACATCAAAGTCCAGTAACTCTCTAAAAAGTGTGTGGTTGAGTTTATATAGGTACTTCTACGAAATCGCTAAAAAAGAGCATAGTCTGATGAAAAAGACGCCAAACTTTACAAAAACAAAATTAAACGCTGATGTTATTATTAAGAGGAAAGACCAAAGTTTTTTGTTTTTTTTTAATTATTTTTAAAAAATTTTTCCTTCTTTTTAGAACATTCTAAATTTTGATTAAAAAAAAAAAAAAAAAAAACCTTGTTTCTCTTTGTACCAACCGGAACTAGTAAAATATAATAGACAATTTTTAGCACCTTTTTCTTTTTTGTGTGTGACACACATTAATTTAGAAAATCTTGCAAAAATAAAAATAATTGTCGGATGTTAATGAAACTTTCAGAAACTATTCACAGATGATTGAAATTATTATAAATGTTTTTTTTTTTTTTAATTAGTCATGGCAGAAATATTTTTTTATATTTATTACCACCCCCATAACTAATTTTATAAAAACGCTAGAAATTCGATCACATCAGGTTTAGTGATTACAGTAGTTAAAAGCACAAGGTTTTAAAGAATGCAAATCATGTTTTTTTTTTTTGTTTTTTTTTTTAATTGGAGCCAACGTACCTGAAAATCAGCTCTGAATTGTAACATACAAAACTCAATAAAACAAAGATATTATTTAATTTCAAATGCTTTTATTTGTTTTTAGTTGTTTTTATGAATATGGACAATATTTTCTGAAAGCAAAAAATTTTTTCAATGAGAACTGAATTTTTAATACGATTATTTGTTATTTCTTAAATGTAAAAATCTATTATAATTAAAGTTGTTAAAATATTATAAAATTAGTTAAAAGCTGCATCGGGTTTCCTAAGTGTCCTTATGAGATAGATCATTTTTTAGCACTTTGTAAACTATTGTTTTGACCAATCTGAAGATCCGCAGTAATTAAGAAATGTAATTTTTTGTTCATAAAAATCGTTAAAATGGTTGTAATTAAAAAGTACGGGAGGTCACAGGCAATAAAACGTCACGTGGCTTGAGTGTAAGCGCTCTCTGCTGAATGTCGATTACATTATTGCAAAATTATTCGTATAAAACACATGCTGAGCATTTTGAATTGGCGTTTTTACTCATTAAAAAATTGGAACATCATCCTAAGCCATTTGCACCATCAACATTACTACAGTTTTAAAAGTACCATTTATTTCATTTACATATTTCATTGCAATTTCAATTTTTTTAAGTTGTTTTCAGTGAGTCGTCTTTATTTCAATTTTATGTGAATTTCTTATTTCAAACAAACTGTTTTCGGTTCTATTCTTAAGTGTTGTTGTCATCACCCTGCTCAAAAGGTGTTAAAAAACAAAATTACATCAAACCATTGTTCAAACTAAACATAGATTTAAAAAAAAGAAAGAAAAAAGAGGGATTTTTTACAAGGTGATGACAGTTTGGTATTGTCGGCTGGCTGGCCTTTGACCCAGCAATGTCAAAGTCAATTTAGGCTTAATTTCAACACTGTTTTCCTTATCGCTGATTTAATAAAAAAAAAAAAAAAAAAAAAAAAAAAAAATTTAGTTTCCAGTGTTTAGGAATAGCAATTTTAACTATTTCTTCATATTTTATCTCCAAAAAAATTTTTTATAATCATTTACACCAACTAATTTCACTTAGAAATGAAAGAGCATTCTTTGCTTTCAGGAAATACCTAGTTTCATGGGGTGCAGATCAAAGTTTCCTTCATATTTTTTTCAGATGATGACAAAAGTCATTTTTCAATTTTTTTTTTTTTTCAGTTCAAATTGGCTGTAGTGTAACAAAATAACTTTTGATATGTTTGTGATGATTTTTACTTGGGATAGAAATGTTTTATCATAGCAGATCTGTATTGACTTTAGGGGGCTATAGTTGCTCTCAAAAAGCTGTACAGCACTTGTATTTTAATTTATTTATAGTATTTATAATTTCTACAGATAGTATCAACAAACTTATGGTGTAAGCTACAGTAATAAAAAAAAAAAAATAAATAAAAAGAAATTGGAATGCTGAAAAGTTTTGTTTTTTTTATTAGCTGGTTCATGTAAAAAAAAAAAAAAAAAAAAAAAAAAAAAGTTACGTCAGTTATGTCCTGTATGATAAATCGAATCTCACGTTAGCTGTCGATATGTGATAACATTTATCACTTGTCAATAGCCAACGATGTTAAGATCGCCTCCTTTTTATTTTAAACAACATTTTTCTTCGAAGAAAGCAAGCAAAAGTTTTTTTCAAAATATATTAAATAATCTTTAAATTTGCTAATTTTTGTCAAATAAATTTTGAAAAATGTATCATTGACTTTTAGAAGAATTTTAAACTAGGATTTTAACTTAGTTTACAAAATTTAAAAAAATGGCTGATATCGAGTTTTTTTTTTTAGTAATTTTGCTGACAAAAAAAAACAAGATTTTTAACTAAAATTTTGGACATGCTAAGAATGAATAAAATATTTTTAAAAAAAATAATCAAAATATACTTTGGTATTTCTTAATAATGATATATATATACTTAAGCAGATAAAATTTTTTTTCATCAAATTTAAGGCCGTTCTTGTCATGCTATACTCTTTTTATTGATTTTCATGGAGTTACCCAAGTTTATACTAGTGTTTCTCAACCTTTTATTTTTGGTGTCAAGAGGAAAAAAAAAATCACATCTCATAAGTGCAAATTTAAATTCCATGTAACAGGAAATACATTTTATTTACTAAAGCAGAATGTTAGCATGATATATAAATCCTGACTAATGACTACACTGCTCCTGGTGACTCCAGCCAGGTCCATTTGAAATATTTCTCAGGCTAACATTGAGAATCCCTGTTTTACACAGAATATTATGAACAGGACTCCCTTCTGAAATGATATAAAATTAATATTTTTTCAATTCTGACAAGTGTCGCAGTCTAATCTTCAAAAATTATTCTCTCCATAAAATTTCCCCAATTTTTGTAATGAGTGAACCAATTTATTAAAGTAGTACCAATTTTACAAGTCAGCCATTGTTGCATTATTTAGCATTTACTTGGTTTGGAAATAGTGAAATATTGGTTGCTCTGTAAGCATTTACTTGTTAGATGGCTGTTTAGGTAGTGGGTGTCATCTCTCAGTAGGGTTGAAGATGGCTTATCTTACGCCCAACTGACAAGGCAGCCAGACAAAAAGTACATCTTAAATAAAATCAAGTTGTCCTATTAAAAATGTGATTCATCTATGGCTTACCCGTATTCTGTTTGACCCCAATTCAAGCATTTGTAGGTTTGTCAAAGTTTTCAAATTCTCAATTTTTGTAATTTTGTTGTTCACCAAAAATAACTTGACCAGTTTCTTGAGATTGTCCAAATTTTCAATTTTTTTTATTCGATTGAAAGAAAAATCCAACTGTCTGGAAGAAAGAAGAAAAATTTCAAGAGATTCAAAACCAACTGTAGGTCATGAGTAAGCTAAAACAATGACAAGAGGGAAATAACATTCAGAAAATTGGACAGATGACAAGCCTATCTATTGTATTTTCTTGTATATAATATGACTTAATTATAATATGACCCATTGTTTCTGAAGCTTAAAAACATGGAATAAATTACGTCCTTGAGTATAATATGACACTGTATCACAGCTATTTTTATTTTAACATTTTTGAAATGTTCTACTTTGTTATTCATTAAAATCTCAAACTCTTACATATATTTCATTAAAATATTTTTTTTTCCCCAATATTAAAGAACAGGAATACACCGATATGTAACTATTATGGGTTTTTTCTATTTTCAGTTTCAAAACTTATAAAAAAAAACACAAAAATCAAAATATAAGTAAACTTTATCTTGTGAGGAAAACTGAGTTTATTTGCAATTTTTCATTTCTTCAAATAGAAGGTTTTTAAAAATGTCTGAAAAAAACATGTGTATACATTTTTGCCTTTAATTTTCCTTCAAAATTTCTCAATTTAATCTCGAGAATCCTTATTATGCACAAGAAAATACAGTATATAAGAAATTTGTCTTTACATTGTTTTTTTATTTATTACTTATTTAAAAAAAACACAATGAAACAAAAATAATTTATGTTAATATGCAAAGATTGAAATTCTACAAGTGAAAGAGTTGTGTTTAAATTTCTGTTAATGTAAACCCCTAGAAATACTCAAACAGGAGGCATTGGGCTTGTTGGAGAAAAAAATTAAAGGTAAGAGGAGGAATTGAAGTGGGAAAGAAAAATTTCAATTGGATGTAAAAAAAAAAAAAAATAAACAAACAAAATGATTAAAAAAAAAAAAAAAAAAAAAAGGTAGATATTTCAAAACAGGAAAAAACCCAGAATGAGTGAAAAGCCATTGCTCCAGAACTCAATAGGCAAATATAAAATATTAATTTTCATAAGAAATTCTATTAATTTAGAGGATAATTTGAGATTTCAAGTGTGAAATGCCAATGCAACAGTAGGAATTTTGAAGTAAAAGCAATTCAAACATTCATCAACACAACATGGAGAGAAATAATCTGATACTTTTTCATTTATACAGGCAGAAATACCCTCTCATGTAATAGTAAGACATTAAGTAAATGAAGACAACATTGTCACTAATGTTTTACCATTATGTGGGAGGTATTTTTTATTGCACTCTGTAGAAGGTGAATTTTTTCAGTTTTGATTAAAAAAAACAAACAAAAAAAAAACACATGTAACCTACTGCAAATCTTCTAAGGCAGAGACATTTTCAATTTCTGTCAATTGGTTATCGTACAAATCCAAATCAACAAGATGCAACAATGTGGATAAACCTTCAACTTTCTTGATGAGGTTTTGTCGCAAACACAAAGTCTGAAAAAGACAGAAAAAAAAAGAAAAGTTCCATGTTTTAGTAATGGGACGATTAATTGGAACATTTTTGGATTAGGGTTAGGGTTATCGGGATTGGCATTGGAGAATTTTTAACTTATTTTCTCATTCAAAAATGATTCTTTGGATTTTTTTGTTTAAAACTTAATTTTTCATTCCTGGTACTAATGATAAAAAGATAAATATTTATTAATTTCAAACTACCAGTAAAACCAAAATCTATAAATCATAATAACACCTAAGTTAAGCATGATGTAAATTTATTATTTTACTTGTGTTAAAAAAAAAAAAAAAGAAAGAAAGAAAAGAAATATGTAAGTTTCTACTCAGTTCTTGAACTTTCTATAAAGTTCCAATAGTTTAAAGTCTGCTTTAGTTTTCATTTTCTTTTTAATCATTGTTAATTCCCCCATTTAATATTATAACTTATTAATTTAATAATTATAATCAAAAATTATGTAATATAAACACAAAATGAATTCACATTGTTGTTCTGCCAGGCTCTCTTTCAAGACAATTTTTAGTTTTTTAATTTATGAAAAAGAAAAAAAAAATGAATGTAGGGAATTCCCATCAATGTCACATTTGATTTCTTTACACAAAAAATTGACCTTGTGCCACAAACTGTCCTTGTAGTGAGGCAGTTAAATTACAACAATTTATTTTTTATAATAGAAAATAAAATCATTTTTTAGTCTCAGTTATGGAAAACATTTATTTTTGTTTACATAACATACTATGTATGCAAAAGTAAATCTTTTCAATAACGGAGACTTAAAAAAGTAAACTTTCTTTTTATGAAATAAATTTGTTTCTACGAAATTTATGTATTTCTTAAAATTTTATAGCTTTTAAAATGGATTTTCATCTTTATTTACTTAAAAATATAAACAAACTTTTATATGACGTTTTCTGAAAAAAAGCTTTTTCACAGAAAAGTTAGTATTAAAAAACCTAAAATTTAATTTCCATCAAAAATTGCATTTAATTTTATTTTACTAATATTTATCTTAGGCATAACTGCCTATGTTAAATTATTATAGCATTTAAAATATCCTGAACTTTTTTCTCATTTATTCCTCCTCAGAGACAAATGTGATACAATATTTGTAAGTAGAAGTGTATAAAAAAAGTTAAAAACAAGTATTTTTATACCATTTTTATCTGGTGATTAAGCTAGTTTTTCCACTTTTAACATTTATTTCAATATTTAAAAAAAAATAAAAATGATCCAATGCAAAAAAATACACATTTACAGTTGTTCTCATCCTGATGAAGATTTTAATCATTTTTAATCTTATTTTTATTTAAATGCTTTGTAAATGTTGAATCTCATTCCTAATAAAGCAATCAAGATGGATATCAGTTTTATATAGCTTTCAACTTCCTGATATTTTAAAAAAAATTATTCTAAAGTTTGCTAAAATTGCTTACATGTCTTAAAAAACATCAAGGGATATATTTTTATTGTGTTGTTGCACTTTTACTCTTTTTCCTTTTAACAAAAATAAAACTTTTTGATTCTTTTTAGAAATTATCACATTTTTTTAATTGTGAGAAATCTATTTTAGACAGTAAAACTTAATTAGTGATTAAATAAAAGGGATATCTAACTTTATTTCATAAGCTTTTGTATTGATTTTTGTATTAAATGTTTTATTAATAAATATACTTTGTTCGTTAAGGCTTCCTAAATCATTAAGTGGCCCAAATATATATATATATATATATATATATACACACACACACACACACAATATTGCTCTACTTTGTATTCTTTTAAACTAAATGTTATGAATGTTAGAATTGTTCTCTATTTGTTCTTATCTTATCTGGATATATATCGTGAAATCACTTGCACATCACCTTTCTTTAGGATTTTTTACAAACTAGTATTATGCAAATTGTTAGGTTAGTTAAGTAATTAACTGGAGCTTGGGTGTTTTTTTTTTTTTTTTAGATTAAATCCGAAATGAATTTCCACAAATTCCAACCATCTCAAGTATTGGAGACTGAGTTTGGTTGATGTTTAAAAGACAAACACAATGACAGATAAGGTGACTCTTATGCAAATGTTGAACTAACAGTAAGTCAAGTCAGTAAGTAAGTGGAAGGAAAAGAGAGAAAGAAAAGATAAGAAATAAAGAAAATTGAAACAGAGACAGACCCTGGAAAACAACACACAATTCATTTATGATTTAGACCAGTGGTTCCCAAACTTTTTTTTTCTCTGGGATGCGATTTCAGAATGAAAATTTGCTTGTGCCTTACCAAATTTTATGTGATAAAAAGTAGATTTAAGGGAAAAAAAAAAAAAAAAAAAAAAAAGAGAGAAGGTTAAAGGAAGATAACCGCAAATTCAAAGTTAGAACATTATCATTGATAACTCTCTCCTCCAATTTGCAGACCTGAATTATTATATTCTTAATTGGTATAATGCAAAAATATCACAATGATAAAATCAATCAATAATTATTTATAACTATTTATACTGGGACTCGTGCATGCAATTACAAGTAATCCATAATATTTTAAATTTTGAAATCATATTTATTTTTGGCAGATGAATTTTTTGAAACTGTTCCTAAATCTTTGATTGCTTTTTCAATCATTCCATTTCACCGGTTATCCTCTTTCACCATGCCTACGAGATGCACCACATCATTTGGGGACCACTAATTTAGATGAACACCTTCAGGTCTACATAGGATTTGTATATCTCCAAAAGTAATATATCCTTTCTTTTTCCATAGAATGTACGATCAAAACAAGAAGCACAAAAACCCTATTGGATAGAGCAAGTTTTCAGCTACAAAACTTTATCTATAGAGCCATTTTTGCTTCAAATACCTTGCTTTTATATGCAGAGAAATGACAACAGATGCAAGGAGCACAATAACACTGTCAGATAAAGCAAGTTTCCAGCTGCCAATCCTGCCCTTAATTTTTTGTTTTTTTTTTTGTTTTTTTTTTTTAATATAGTCACTGCCATTGGTCTTGCATTCTCACCAGATATGAACAAGAACTTTTCTTTTTGTAGGTTGGCAGAAGTGCAGGGCTCCCCAGAACATGGCTTGTCACATACAAGACAAATGACACTGCTGAAATGCATTACCCACTGCCAAACTGTGCTCACATCCATTATTTGGTCTTTACAAGCATTGATGAATGTCAATGGATATAATTGTTTTTCTCACACTAGTCCATACTCAGTTAAGCCACTTGAAGCAGGTACATCATTGTGGGTTGAAATCAGTGAGTGTTTCAAGAAAGGTGATATTCACAGAACATGAAAAAGTGGCAACATAAATTAACAGTAAAGTAACATTCTTATAGATAGAATTATATATGCAGGGTAGTGGGGAGGAGGAGATATAAATGTACACATCCTGGTTCACACTTCTCCCTGGTCTATTTAATTAGACATTTATCCCTCATTCTCCACCCCATTTAGGATTGGGTTTCCACACCCTTCTAAAGTCTGCTTGTCCTTTCCTATGTTAATATATGTTCCCATAATAACCCTCTACCTCGAGTGGCTCTTAGGCCTTATATTGGGTGAATATTAGGAGGAAAAAAAAACGAGGAAAAAAAAAACAACAAAAAAAAAAAAAATAAAAAAATAAAAAAAACAAATAAACAACAATAATTATGCTCCGAGGGAAAATATTGAAGAATGCCTATGCTTAATTTTAAATTTCAACATGTTGGATGAAATTTAAAAAATAGAAATTTAGCATTCCTACATCTTCAAAGTTTCTCCTCAGTGCATAATTAAAAAAAGGTATTTCTCTTCATATCCACCCCACCTCCTTACATATAATCCCATCAATAAGAACATTATCTTGTTCGATGAAGTCCTTTTAGAAGATGAAACACATAGAATTTTTTTTTCACTTTGTCAATTTACCTAACTGTGTGTACATGCTGACCAATACAAAATGGATCCTGTCATTTTTCAGAGTTTCTACAATTTACCGATTCTTCTTCTATATGCAGTGTCCGTTTAGGACATGGGAAGTTGTGGAGAGCCATGATTGTCTAACCTGTGTGGCTCTCAGCAGTTTTTCTCTCTTTGCCAAGCCCCTCCGGTTCAGCCATTCATTCATACAAACTCATAAGTGGTTTGATACTGTTAGCCTTGTGAGGGTTGCTTAAGTTTCCTAAGTGTTCCGTCCTCATTATATGTCCACAAAATTCCAACTGCCTTTTCATGATTGTGAGTAAAAGTGTTCTTTCTGTTGCCCTTTTCTTTAAGCCTTCCTTGTTGGTTTCTTGCTCTGTTAATGGAATTCTCAGTATCCTTCTGTAGAGCCACATTTCTGCTGCAATCCAGCACTTTTTTTTTTTTTTTTACTAGTGAATTTTTCTATTTCTCAGCACTTTGCTAAGCTTTTGGAATGCTTCTTTCTGTAGACCAATGTGCGTTCAAAAATATCTCTACCATTTTCTATCCTTTGTTAAAACACTTCCCGGATTTTTTTTCAATTCCTCACCTGCTTGATGTTGACATCTCCAATTTTTAGTTTGCTTCTTGGGATTTTTCTCTTGCTGATATCCATAATTTCTGTCTTGCAGTTGATGGCTAGTCTTTAGATATAATAGTAAAAAAGAAAAAAAAAAAAAGCCTAAGAAGAAAAAATGTTAATAGTACAAAGAATTTATCCTTACCTGTACATTGGTTAATTCTTCCATGCGTTCAATTTTTCCAATTCGACAATGACTTAAATCAACATCCTAAAAGGAGAGGAGAAATTTAATTTAAATATTTTAAAACTATTAACAAGCACATAAAACATTTATTTTTATAAAAATGTAACTAAAACATTATTTTTGGCTACAATACAAACATTAGGTTACAAGACAAGTAGCATGCATTTTTTTTTTTTTTTATACAGACTTGGATTGAAAACACCAGCCACTATAATTTAGCTAATTTCACCCATAGACAATGGAAGAAGTGGATTTTATTCATGTTTTATAAAACAGAATTGTCCTCCTCAATTGGTTGCCAAACAAAGCTATTAAAGCCAAACTGCCTTGGTATTTTGCTTATAGCTGGTTAGGGAGAGAAGAGATGGATTCATGACTTTCCCTGTTGAGTATGAATACAAAACTTATCACCTGTTTTTTTCCTTAACCACAGAATTTATCTCAAATAATGTACATCTAAAAAGGAGCTCCAATCAATAGTTAACTAGGGCAGGAAATGGCTTATAAATTTTAATGCCTTCAGAAAAAAACTGCTTTCATTTAACCATCACAGAGAACTTTTTCTGCCTGCCATCAGAATGGTTGATGCTAAACTCAAAGACAGCAACACGCTGCACCTTCTTGGCCTTACGATTTCAACTGTCTTGAAGTGGAACAACTACATCGAATCAATAGCTGCATCTACTGCAAGGAAAGTTGGGTTGGTGTTGTTCCAGAATTTTTTTCTCTTCAAAATCCATTTTGCACATTTACAAATCTAACATTTGTCTGTGCATTGAATACTGCTGCCATATCTGGTCTGATGCTCCTGCTATTCATCTCAAAGTTCTTGACAAAATCTAAAGAAGGATTTTCATGGCAACCGCTCCGACAAGCTTTTTTTCTCCCTGGTATCTTGACTACATGAATTTAAATGTGCAACTAGATTGGCATCTAGGTTTTACCCATTTACTGATGAAATATCTAAATGCAACCCCCACCTCTACTCCAAGTTTCTTTTTTCTAACTTCCCGCCTTTGTAACTCCCTTTCTGTTTACTTGCATCTCTGATAATTACAATTTTCAAAAATTTAAATGCAACATCAATCGCCATCTTCTCAAATTCCCATGAATCTTTCCCATACTCAGTCTTTTCTCTAACTTTTATTCCCTGTAACCCTCTGTGTACTAGTGGCATTTCCGCCTTGAGCTGAAATGATTACAAAAACAAAAAACAACAATAAACATGCGAACTGACACCACTAACTCCCACTACACCAACTTGAAACATGCAGGCAGGCATCCTTTCTTGTATTCCTCCTACTACCATAGGAATGAAACAGACAGGCACAATATTGTCCACCAGAATTCAGATGTGTGTGCCCAAACACGCACAGACAAAGCACAAAACAGAAACTGACTAATGAAAAACAACATGGAACTCAGAGTAACAGAAGTTTTTTTTCTTCTATAATTCATTTCCAGAAATTTCTGATGAACCTTAAATAAAAGTGGGACATGTTAAATATAACTACACACACACATATTATGCCTCTTGATTCGTTGGTGAAGATAGGTCTTCAACAACACCTCTCCAATGGACGTGGTTCCGGGTGATCTTCAGCTTGGCTTATATCATGCTGGCTGCCTTCACCTCTGCGTCAACACTTCTGCACCAAGTATCATTTTATATATATATATATATATATATATATATATATATATGTGTGTGTGTGTGTGTGTGTGTGAGATAAAAACAGTTTTAATGTACAGTATATTTGTAAAAGTGCTAGTTATCAGGGATAGGTTATGGCCTGAAGATTGCATTCATTCAAGCATAAAACAGATTGACACTGTGTTGACATCATTGTCTACTTTTATATATATATATATATATATATATATATATACATACATACATACATACATACATACATACACACACACACACACACACAAATGAGAGGAAGAACAGATTGAGTAAAAATCCACTGTTCATAGTATTTACTTTTAGAAAGGTGCTCAATACAAAGTAGAGCAATATATTATTATAAGAGATTATAATAAAACATTGAAATTGCTACATGAAAGCTTTCATGTTAAAATACTTTGATTGTACTTCTTCAGGCGATGGTAAGTAACTGATGAAATACAATCATAGTATTGAAACATGAAAGCTTTTGTGTAGCTATTTCAAAATGTTTTTATCATACTCTCTTATAGTGTGTGTGTATATATATATATATATATATAAATAAAAAGATGGCCTAAAGATTTCATTTAAGTATGAAACACTGCCACCACTGGTTTTTGACCTCAATATCCACATGTACAATATATCATTGGACTTGACTGATACACATTATCATAGCAGAGACCGGAAAAGACCTGCATTTGAAATTATCCAATTCAATTATACACTCCTGAAGATGACTAATAGGAGTCAACAAATCCCTGATTTTGAATATTTTTATTGAATTTTCAGCAGTCAGATTTGTGGAAAATTATTCGCAACTTAGAAAAGTTGACCACTAAATTTAATTGGCATAAAACACCTATACTTTTCAATAAACAAGATGAGAATGATAGTCTGAAGAAATGGAATTATACTGACAATACCCTATCTCAAAAATTAAATACAAAATTATGAAATATTGCTAGTTAAAATAAACATTGACAGGGCAATGGCATAGTGCAGTGATCACCAACTGGTGGTCCATGCAAAATTTTTTATGCTCTTAAGAAAAATTGGGACATTATTTCAATTTTTAAAAAGCTCCAGATTCAAAAATGAAAGTAACAAAACGTATTATGGATGGTATATATGTTCAAGACCTTATGTAATCTCGAAATAAACACAAGTACACAGATGTGACATCATCTAGTCGTAATATAACCTAACACGGCTTTCAAACTTCAAATTTTCAATTTGTCTCATTTAAATAATTACACTATAATTTTGTTAACCTTAATGGGTGCATTTCCTATTAATAAAATAAAAGTTGGTTGGTTGTTTTGTTTTATGGTATATCAACCTCAGTGGGCCATTTAATGCCAACAAAATTTTTGAAATAGATTCATAGCGATCGTTTGGTAAAAAAAAAAAAAAAAAAAAAAGTGTGTATGTATACATATATATTTGAACCATTTTTCAATTACTCATATTTTTGAGTACAATCCAACTTTTAGGAAATTTACTGTCTTGGATGGTTTTATTTTCGTAAAAAGTTTTAAAATTTTTTTTCCTCAAAAATATATAGCTGGTAATATTATTTTAAAAAAATGTATTGCTGGTAATAATTTTTTGAAAAGTATTTCTGGTATTAAAACCAATTTTTACACTTTCATAAGACTTTTTACCTCAGTTTTGGGATTAACTATTTTACCATAGCTGGGACCCTAACAAGTACTACCACCTCAGGTCAGGGTGGACCTGGGAACACCAGCAATTAAGAGGTGGTTCCACACTTCTCAAAACCTCCTGCTCAGAGGCCTTGCTGTTGGATGTAGTTTATCGTCATACCCAAGACAGTAAAATAAAAGTTTTCCAATTATTATTATTATTATATAAAACGTATTTACCTTATTTTTCTAAATTCATATTAGCGGTATGACAAATTTAAAGTAATATATTTAGTGGCCCATTAAGTTCAAAAGGTTGGCCTAGTGGATTAAAGCACTGGTTTGTTAATTTGGTGACAGTGATTGTGAGTTCAATCCCTGGGTTTAGTAATGTGTACTTGCACTTGGGAAACAGGTGAGCAATAACTGAACAGTACTATAAAAAAAAAAAGAAAAAAGAACTAAATGATATCCCTAGACATGAGTAGTGGAATGCGAACAGTCTATCCTTGTCAATTAAATAAAGAGTTTAGTTCAGAACTCCCTGTAGGCTAAAAGATCAATATACACCCGAGGAAGGCTGAAACATTGTGTTAGCAACAACAAAGATTAGGACAATAGTCGAAATATAGGGTCAAAAAAGATTTTATAATAGTTTAATTCTACATTTCAGTAACTGTCTATATTTCTCAGATGAGGTATTATGTACATTATTTACATTATTCGGACTATTGTCCTCATCTTTGTTGCCATATTTATTACAATGTTGTAATAAATATGGCGACAAAGATGAGGACAATGGTCTGAATAATGTAAATAATACATTTTAATTGAACTGATTTTTCCTTTACAAATATTTGGAACTTTTCTCTTTCAAGAAAATTTTGTTTTTCAACTTTTTTGAAACAGGATGTTGATTTTCTGGTGAAAATGTTTGGATATATGGTTTGTTAGCCAAAGACCCTACCATGCAATGGTATACAAACAGCATAATGTTTATTTGAAATCAATATTTTATTCTTGTTAAACTTTGTGATAATTACAATAATATGAGCAATTTAAAAAGCATGAAAAATAAAGATCTAATTTAGGTTTCATAAGTGACATTAAGATTTGTCTTGCAAGAGATACTTGTACAAGTCAAGACAAAAGTGACATTCTTACCACTGCATCAGGATCAATGATAACAACTTCTTTTGTTGGTTCTTCTTCTTTATTATTTTGATTGGCTTCTCTTTCATCTCCACTTGAATCATGTTCTTTGCTGCCATCCTCTGGCATTTTGATCACGAGTTCAGCTTTATCCATTCTTTCTGAAGAAAAAAAAAAAAAAAAAAAAGAATATTATTCAAAATATATTCAAATGTTTATCATCAACTGATATTTTTAGTTGCATGTTATCATTTAAAGCAGCCAAGAGTTCATTAGAATGTTAAGTCAGGAAATTTAACATTTTTGGGGTGTGTTAAGAGAATATTGATAAGAGATTTCTCTATTAAAAATAAATAAATTGCAGAAGTAACTGGATGATCAGCAAAATTAAAATGTAGCAAGTGGCTGAAATGACCAAAATAAGCTGATCTTAAAAAAAAAAAAAAAAAAAAACTGATTTAAAATCATTCTGTTTATATATATATATATATATATATATATATATATATATATATATATAATGTCATAGCAGGAATGGCCAGATGATGAAAGCTAACCAAACTTGAGAAGTTAAAACATTTTATCTATTAAATTAGCCACAAAAACAGTGGAGGTAATATGACAAGTGGAGCATATCTATTAAAATTATAATGACAGGTTGAAAATGCTGAAGTTGAAAATTATTTTGTTAATACCTGATTGTTTCATTTATCTGCAATGTGAGAATAACAACTAAAATGAGCAATTAAAATATAATAATGATAATAAGTCATTTTAAAAATAAAATCTCTCTCAAAAATTGATTGCTTCAGTTACATAGATTTGGATGTCAAATTGTTTAAGGTTTACAATCAAAATATTTAAACAGTGTAAATATTAATGAATAAAATTTTCTTAATTTATATAAAAACTTTTGTACTTGAAAGAAAAATAAAACTCATTTAACCCAGTCCAACAGACAACTTCTGACATCTTTGTGATTCTATTATTGGGAATAAAATAGATTTTTTGGCACCAATGTACAGTGTATTTTTTTTTTATTTTGCATTTCAATATTTTTTTGCTTTACATCAAAATATTATTTGTTTTTATTAGTTTACAAAAATTAAAATCTATATGTACAATAAAAAGAAAAAAAGTTATAACAATTTTAAAACAGTAAGTGTTCATGTTTTTGCACCCTAACAAAAAAAAAAAAAAAAAATGCAGTGGCAGGGGGAACAATTCTAAAAAGAAATTAGCTTCGTAAAGTTTAATTAGTTTTAGTAATGACTTTTGGTGAGTTTTTTTGCTATGTTTGCTTTTTGATTATAAAAATGTGACAATTATTATACACAAAGAATTTAAACAGAAACAATACAAAAAGTAATGGCATGTGTGAATGAATGCAGAAAAAAAAAAAAAGAAAAAATGTAGCTTTTTCAATGTTTTGTGTAGGCAGTTCGGATTCACTGTTGAATGAGAGTATGTAGCTGTATTAAGCATGTGTTAGGTTAGATGAGCAAAAAGGCCTTCTTTGATGACATAATAAAGCATGTTACCAAATGTGAGAAGTCTGCCCAAACATTCCCTCCCAAAGCCAATGTACTGATGACGAGAGAGAGAGAGGAGGGGCTATGCTGATGATATAGGTATTCACAGTAGGGTTTTAAGAATGATTTTAAACAGAAAATCAGCATCCTCCAAGTGCTGTAAGACCTTTCCAAAACTGGAACTATGAACTGGAATTGAAATGAAAGCAGTGATGGCACCTATCCTGAATCCATCATCAAAATGAAAACATCCTCTCTCAAATGTTCCAAGAAATAGGACTCAATATAAACCTTTCCAAAACAGAAACTATGATCTGGAATAGGAATGAAAGCAATGATGGTACCTACCCTGAATCCATCATAATAATTCAGGATCTGGAATTAGTAAAGACTAAATACTTCAAATAGCTCGGAGTAGGGGTCAGTTATAACAAATTAAATATAAGAGAAAAAGAAATTGAACATGGAATAAGCTGTGCCAGAAGTAGCTTTGCACAATGCCTCAAAATGCTACGAAACCAAATGTGAACTTGATTCATGCTCTTAATATTGTCAGATTGAAACTTTCAGATGGACACCATGCACAACATCGAACCTGTTGAGAAATATCTCAACTGTCAGTAGTATACAGCCTCTTCCTGAGATCAATGGTTAAAAAAAAAAAAAAAAAAAAAAGGCTCTGAGCAAGTAAAGCCTGAGGGTCTTGCCAAAGGTAATCCTTCTTTGAACATTATGGACTAGCACTATAGAATCACAAACAAACAACTGTACCAAATAACAAAAACATCACTTGAAGAGTACCAACAGCTGCAACAACTAAAATGGATAGCACATAACTAGAAAAGAAACTAATAACATAATCAAGATGTTAACATTCCACATGACTTCAAATAAAAGGTTAGGAAGGAAAATGCCATCAATACCAGAAAGAATGATAACAGCTATTGAGCTTGAGAAAGAGGTTTTCCTAAAAAAAATGTTTAAAGAGAAAGATTTTATAAATTTCAACCAAAAGCAGTACTGTCTGCTCAGTCAATGAATGCTAAATATTTCCTTGATTACCATTACCATTTCAGTGTTCTATTTTACAGAAAAATAGTAAAAAAAAAAAAAAAAAAAAAATCAACTGTGTGAATTTCTGGGATGAGGAGTTATCATTTACAGTCAGACTAATGTCCCAATTTTTGCTGTGGCATTAATATTTTGGCTGCTGTGTTATCTGTCTTCCTTCAGGAGCCTACCAACCTCAGAAAATTTTGAACTGAACTCCTTATTAAATCTATGCTATTAGATTGTTTCCACCCACTTCAATTTATTGTTCTATTATTACATGTCCAGTGTCTGAATATATCTCAACTACCCAGTCTAGGGACTGAACTGGAGGATTAAACTGAATTTGGTTACAGAAGAATTACAAATTCAATCCATCAGCTGGGTGGGGTATAGATATCTTCAGAGTCAGTGGAAACAAAATTAGTAACAATGGAACAATTGATAGGATGCAATCTCTGTAGACATGGACAGCAGAACAAGATAGTGTAGATTAAATAAAAGGTTCAATTCAAAATTACCTAAAAGGTTATTCAGATTGGTAAACACTCAAAGAAGGTTGGAGTGAACAACAAATCAAAATCTTGTGATTCTGACAACAAAGATGAAGTTATTAGTTTGATTAGAAATAAAACAACTCCAGTATAGCCAAACACTCACATCATTTGAAGTAACTTAAGTTTTTTTGTTTTTTTTTTGTTTAGCCTCATGTCAACCTCTATGGGTTATTTAATGGTAAAATTTAAATATTTCATATGCAATTTTATTCATTTTTGGATAATAATGGTTTTAGTGATACAAGTCTTACTAATTAACTAATAACTAGGAGGAGAAGAGGTGGATTCATACCTTTCCCTGAAGGTATTTGCACGTAAGTGAATATAACATCCAACTGGAATTGGAACTCTACTCTCCAATTAACAATTCCGAGCCATTATCCATTACACCATCCACACATCCAAGCTTACAGCACCTGGTATTCCCAAGCGGTTATCCATCTAGGTACTGATCAGGCTCAACGTTACTTAACATAGGTGATCGTATGGGAACTCGACTCTCCGATTAACATCCATTACACCATCTGCACATCCAAGCTTACAACACCCAGTATTTTTAAGTGGTCACCTATCTGGTACTGACCAAGATTGATATTGCTTAATTTTGGTCATTGTACAAAAATCAGTGTAACGTGTAACTGTTTAGTAATGTTACATGTAATGAAATTAGGTAAAAAAAAAAAAAAAAAAAATTATTTCTTGGTTTGTGAACTTAGATTTTTCTGAAATGCCTTCTTTAAAACTGAATTTAATTTCCCTTTGTGTTGCATTTGCATTCATTTTTCAAGGACACAGAATTGAAATAAAATGAGCAAACCAATATTAAAAAGGCTTTGATAAATCAAAACTTGACGTCAATCAAATTTATTTAATTCTTTTCAAGCCCACATGACGATGGTCAAATTGAAAAGAAAAAAAAAGCCATGTGACAAAAATAGAGGCAAAACATTGTAATCATTTTTCTTTTCTTTTAAAAACTAGTTTTCAAAACTATTCTTTATAATAGTTAAATTATCTATTGCAAGGTTGTAGGTGGCAAAATGGAGGACTACACAGCATATGATCTAACATGTAACCAACACTTGTTGCATATTTTCATATTATTTTATCTTAACATTAATTCATGACACTTTTTTAAGTAATTATTTTCATTATGTCACTTTTTCATATAAAAATCTATTTGTTATATAATAAAAATGTAAACAAAACCAAAAATAAGGTTCTTTATTTTCCACCAAATTGGTCAATATTTAACCATAAATTCTGTTGATTTTCATAGTTCTGATGTGAATATGAATCAGCATTCAAATAGCTTTCTAAAGATGTACAACTTGACCATATTGGGAAATATGAAAACGTTAGCATTTTGAATTTGGCCCAAATTACTAAGACCCTTGTAATTCAGGCCATAGTCCACAAAATTTTGTACATATCTTGCTATAATGCAGACAAATTTGTTGTCAAAAAAAAAAAAAAAAAAAAAAAAAAAAGATATGCTTTTTGGAAAATTAAAAGGTAAAAGGTCAAATCTTATTTGACTTTAAAAACAAAAAAAAAATAAAATAAATAGCACATCTTTTAGATCTATCCAAGTACTTTAAAATGGTATATAATTTAACTTTGTAGGTGAAAAAACAACTGAGATAAACTTTGTGATATTTTCCAAAATTCATCTTTTTGGCAAAGGTGAAAGGTCATATATTAGGATCCCTTTGACCTAGAGATCTAAAATAGGTACCATTCAATTTGTATAATGAAGCTCTCTAAGTGCACCAAATTTGAAAAAAAAAAAAAAAATCTGTCAGTGATGGTCAGACTGACACAGAATGACTGCTTTTTCTATTGACACTTATTATTTTAACTACCTTCACTCCTAGGCAATGTTTTATTTGTTTTCTTGATGAAAGTGAATTTATACATTTTTTTTTTTTTTGTTCTTGAGAATTTACAACAAAAATATTAAGCGCTATTTATGTTGTGGGGTACATACTACACCCCTGGTGACTATATGAACTAATACATAATAAAGAGGTCAAAGATGAAAAGAAAAAGCCGTTTGGAGCCATTCTTCAGACTAATTAATACAAGCATCATGACAAGTAGTCATGGCAACAGGCCATTGCAAATAATCAATATAAAATTGAATAAAATGTATTTGTAGTTTATTTTTTGAATAAAGTTAAAGCAAAATGGAAATTATTTATGACTCATCCTAATAGTTTCAGAATTCTTTTTAATTTATCTTCCTATAGCTATTTTTTTTTTTTTAATGTGACATTGTGTTGAAAAGTTTTCAGCTTAACCAGGGAGGCATTTCAAGAAAAAAATTCTGTTCAAACTTTAGTTTGTGGGCCAGGTTAAGAACTTTTCTGCTCCCACTTATAAACCTAATACCTGTCTATAAATAATATTTGTTCTGTATCATTCAAGCTTTAAAAAAAAAAATCTTCTCATCTCAATATGAATTTTAAACATACCTGTTTGTTATCCATCTTTTTGGTAGATGCATTTTGTACAGAGTTATCACCAGTTCTTTTTCCATTTATTACAAAATGTGTCTCATTTTATTCAATTATATATATTGATTATTTGCAATGATCTTTTATGTATCAGACAGCAATTTGATAACTTGAGTTGAATCCTGCGGTTTTGATGTGAGAATGTTTTTGAACTTTTGAATCTGATTTTTATAGTTTTTCCCATTTTTTCCATTTAAGACAATTAAAGGTTGAGCAGAACAAACCATCTGAGCTCTAGAAATGTTTTTTTTGTGTTGCTCTTGTTCTATACAAACTGTCATGGAGAACATATTTCCTTTCATTCACTGTGTATACTACTACTGCTGTTTAAAAATAGTTTATTCTTCACTGCCACAATTGATTAGTAATTAGGAATACATTGATCTTTTATGTATCAAAATGAAAACAGACAATTTTGAGGCCATGATCACTTGACACTGTTGAATCCTTCTTACATACAATATTACCTTTCTTCAATGGAGTTCAACTTTTGAGGTCGGTTGTGAGAATGTTTTTTGAATGTCTTTTTGAATCAACATTTATTTTTATAGTTTTTCCAATCAAACTGTTTAGTTGATTTTTCAACTGTTTAGTTGGAAAAAGTTTAGTTGGGGTGATACAATAATTGTTTAGTTGGTACAAGGTTTAGAGCAGAACAAACCATCAACTGAGTTGGGGTGATACTAGAAATGTTTTTTTAGTTGGGGTGATAAATTGCTGTTTGTTCTATAATCACAAAACTGTTTAGTTGGGGTGATACAATCAACATTACAACTGGAGAACAATAACATTACAACTTTCATTCACTGTTTAGTATACTAACATTACAACTGTTTAGTTTAAAAATAGTTTATTCTTCAACTGCCAACATTATTGATTAGTTTAGTAATTTACAACTGTTTAGGATGATACATTGTTTAGTTGGGGTGATACAATCAACATTAAACTTTTAGTTCCAACATTACAAAAATGGAAAACAACTTATGTTTAGTTGGGGTGATACTCAACATTACAACTGAGATATTTTTACAACTGTTTAGCCATGATCAATCAACATTACAACTGTTTAGTTCTAATCAAAGGGATACAATCAACATTACAACTGTTTAGTTGGGGTGATACAATCAACACAACTGTTTAGATAAAAAAAAAAGTTGGGGTTACAATCAACATTACAACTGTTTAGTTGGGGTGATACAATCAACATTACAACTGTTTTAGTTGGGGTGATAAATCAACATTACAACTTTTAATGGAGGTCGGTTGTGAGATTTTACAACTGTTTAGTTGTCAATCAACATACAACTGTTTAGTTGGGGTGATAATTTTGTTTATTGGATGTCAATGAACATTACCTGTTTAGTTAGTGAAAATTTATTTTAGTTAACGTTGTCAATCAACATTACAACTGTTTATTAGTATACAATCAACATTACAACTGTTTAGTTGGGGTGATACAATCAAACATTACAACTGTTTAGTTGGGGTGATACAATCAACATTACAACTGTTTAGTTGGGGTGATACAATCAACATTACAACTGTTTAGTTGGGGTGATACAATCAACATTACAACTGTTTAGTTGGGGTGATACAATCAACATTACAACTGTTTAGTTGGGGTACATTATCAACAACATTACAACTGTTTAGTTGTTACAATCAACATTACAACTGTTTAGTTGGGGATGATAAATCAACATTACAACATTACAACTGTTTAGTTGGGGTGATACAATCAACATTAAACAGTTAATCAACATTACAACAACTGTTTCAACATTAGTTTAGTTGGGGTGATAAATCAACATTACAACTGTTTAGTTGGGGTGATACAATCAACATTACAACTGTTTAGTTGGGGTGATACAATCAACATTACAACTGTTTAGTTGGGGTGATACAATCAACATTACAACTGTTTAGTTGGGGTGATACAATCAACATTACAACTGTTTAGTTGGGGTGATACAATCAACATTACAACTGTTTAGTTGGGGTGATACAATCAACATTACAACTGTTTCCCCAAAACCGAAATTACTTGTGACCCAACTTCATTAGATTTCTGCCTGAATTTCCTATGAAACAATGCCCTAGTGGATAAAAGCACTGGTTTGTGAATTTGATGGCATACTGGTTGAGTTCAATCCCCGAGTTGTGTAGTGTGCACTTGCACTCGGTGGAAACAGGTGAACAATACTGAACAATACTAGATAAAAATAGAACTATATCTCTAGGCATGAGCAATGGAATGAGAACAGTAGTTTAAATAGTGTAAATAATTAATAAGATTTATTTAACACTATATGAAAAATATTTTAAACTTGCAGTAAGTATTTGATGATTCAATTTAATGTTCAAAATATTAAATTAAAAATGTAATAAATTTTTTTTTTTTTTTATGATTCATCAACCCTTTTGGGGTTATTTAAAGCTGAAAGACATTGTGGCTTGTAGAAGGTTGCCTACAGTACCCAGTGTTTCCTCACAGTACCCCTCATCTAAGTACTGAGCAGGCTTGATGCTGAGATCGAATGAAAACCAGTTGTACTAAGATTTATTTAACACTATATGAAAAATATTTTAAACTTTTATCCAGTATTTGATAATTAAAAAAAAAAAGAAAGAAAAAAAAAAGAAGTTACTAGTCAGTCAGGCAGGCAGCAGTGATAATATAAACAAGCTTAGTCATCGCATGATGAAAATAAAGTGAATACCATTTAATAGGTAGTTTTTCTGGCCTACTTATAAAATGCACTTTTGTTTCCTTCCAGGTGAAGACAGTTATAATTAAAGCGAACAGAAATAGTTTAAGCGGATATTATGTAGAGTGTAAGGTACTATGAGAGAGAGAGGAAAAATTCTTTCTTCCGTAATGTTCACCTCTATACAAGACCCAGAGTCACCCAATAGTATAGGGTTACAGAAGGAGTTTGTTGTGCAAGCAAAAAGAATAAAAGATAGACATGGTTTA